TTGCTCCCCTTGAGCTCTCTCTCTCTCTTTCTTCAAGCTCTCATGCAAGAAGGCAAAGAAAAGAAACAAACTAGATTTTCATTCTAATATTCATTAGCTATTACAAGAGAAAAGACCCATATATATATAGGTCTCAAGCATACATGAATAAATAAAGACTAAATTGCCCTCAGGGCCCCAACATGACTCAACTCAACATAAGGGTACAATAGAAAAACATAAAAATAAAATGCATAAACAACTAGAAAAATAAGCTTTGAATTATGGCCATTGATCGGTGATGCTTCCGGCTATACACATGTTTGGACTTTGGATTGATGTCCTCATCACTAGGAAAAAACATTTAGGACTTAATGCTAGTTAAATCAAATCAGTGCTTTCCCTTTTCTTCAACTTGTTTGTGTCCAGCTTTAGCTGCCAAATATTACATTCTCATAAAACTTCCAGGTCTCTTTATATAATCTTGGTACATTGTGGACAGTTGTGGAACTACAGCAGAGGGCCTTCTTGTTCCCAGTTCGTGTAAAGCCTTGAAATGTTTTTATGCAGCAAGGGATCAAACCAATGCAGAGGGCCTCCTCTAAAGTTTAGAATCAAGAATTATATATATTTATTGAAAATATTAATAGCATTCTTAAAAAGTTTATGCTCCTATTAAGGAAAATTTCTGATTATGCTTCTGCATGCTTAGTTATCTTATAAGCGTTATTTGTGAAAATCTCAATAAATAGGAGTACTATTTATATGTACCTGAATTTTTCATCTTATATGCATTCATCATTCTGCTATATTATAATGAAAAACTTCTTAATTTTATTATTTTGCTATATTCTAGGATTGGTGCTTTCTTTTTCTCATGGCTGTTGGGCACCTTTCTCATGGTTTCTGTGATGCCGCCTCTTCTGAAAGGCCCAAGGAGTCTGGAAGTGACTACATCGTTAATAAGCTATGTGCTTCTGTGGGTATCTTCTACTTATCTTAAATAGTTCAGTTCATCAGTTATGATCATGTGAAGGCCAAGTTTATAATCACTGTAGTGTTGTTGGGTTTATGCTATCTGTTTTTTCAAGCCTTGAGGTGCTGTGATTTTGAGCAGGTGGAAAGGGAGATGGTTTTGTATTTTAGAAGAATCACAATTAGTTTCTGGGCTTGAAATGAGGCTGAGTAGCCAAATCAAGTCATTTCCTGTTTCTACTATGTAGCAATGACAAATGTACATCATAATGGATCTTTTGATCTTGTTGTGTTTTTCCATTTATTTATTTTTCCCTATAACTGTGTTACTATGTGTATTTTCATAACATTGCTGCCGAAGTAGAAGTACAGTAAAAGAGAACAGACAAAGTTACCTTATAGAAGCCTCTCTGAAGGAAGAGAGATTATTACGTGCGGAGTTTGGGTGCAGAGAACCCTTCGATTTTGTGACTGTGAACAATAAATGCACAACTAAACGCAGTGGTGAACAATAATTGCGTTTTTACTGTTCACAGTCACAAAATCATGATTTCATGCGTCCGGACTCCGCATGTAATAACCTCTCGTGAAGGAATGGGTGTAGTTATGGTTAAATACTGTTAGTCTATTTGTTTCAAATTTGATGTAGTGTATGTCATCTTTTCTTTGAAGCCTTGAGGTGCTGTGAGTTTCTACAAGAGTAATGGGATTGTTGTTTTTCTGTTATTATGACCATGATATTAGAGCAAATTCATGATATTAGAGCAAATTCAAGTGATTTTCCTGTTTTTCAATATGTTGTGATGGAAAATGCACATCAAATTTGATTTTCTAATATTGTTTTGTTTGTTTTTTTTTCCTTGTTATACTTTGTGTATTTGTTGGAGCAAATTCAAGTGATCTTCCTAATATTAGAGCAAATGCAAATGATCTTCTAATATTGTACTGTATTATTTAGATCTTTGTGTTTATTATTTATGTGTTTTTTTGTATTCTTATAAGGTATTAAAAGAAATTTATACTTATTTGATTTTAATACATTTTAGACTTTCCTTGTGATGAGATTATATGTATTTATGTACAAGAGTTCAAGAAAAAAAAAAACATATATATATATATATATTGTACAAGAGTTTTTTTTTTTTAATTTTTTTTCTTATATTATTTTGCGACTACTTAGTAGTGAACTTGTTTTTTTATTATGAATATGTAGGGTTTTACTCATTTTTTTTATGAATTACGAAATGAGCATATACGTGAAAAGGTTGGAGTAGCTCCAGTAGAAGATAAGATTAGAGAGAGTCGTCTTAGATGGTTTGGTCACATAAAAAGGCGGCCTTCCGATGATCCGGTTAGAAGAATAAAGGTATTAGACGGTTAGGAGAGTAGAGGTATTTAGATTTGACTTTTGTTAAGAAAGGTAGGGGTAGACCTAAAAATACTTGGTTAGAAAATATTAGGAATGAATGAGAATGACTTTTAATAGGACACAATGGAGAAAAAGAATTCATGTAGCCAACCCTACGTAGTGGGAAAAAAGTTTGTTGTTGTTGTTATTATGCATCATGTGCATTTTTCATAGTTATCTCTGCAAAAATGTTTTTTTTTTGTTTTCAAATGTTTCAATATCCATAAAAAATGTGAGGTCAGTACATTCCTCATAGATAATAACACTTATAAGTGTAAGTGCGTCGAGCAGGGTCAAACTCGACTTGATAATGAGCTCATAAGGCGAGCTCATTGAACTTCGAGCTTAAACTCTTGTTTGAATATCTAACAAGTTTAAATTTGAGCTTGATGAGATTCTACTTTTTCAACTCGGGAGCTAAACTCATTTAGATTAATATTAAAAATAAAAAAATAAAGTGTATTATTAAAAAAAAAAAAATTGCTAGATGCAGCTAAAAAATGCAAAACATTAATGCATTTACGCTGCCAGTTGCTTCTTTTTGGGGAAGGCTGTCACCTGTTGATATTATTTTAAAAAGGTTTATTAATTATTAAAAAAAATACTTTTATTCTTTATCTTCACCACTGCTCTTCTCCAACTGGTGAGGCAAGCTCGTGAATCGAGCTTAAGCGAAACGAGTTTGAGCTCACCAAACGAGATCAATTCGAGCCCCTTTCTAAGCTAACGAGCTGAGCTCGAGCTAGCTCAAACTCAAGCTCAACTTTGCTCATTTAACACGCTTATTAGCAGCCACACATTAAAAAATATATATTTCTCTAATTTGTTTTGACTGAATTAAACGTAAATTTACATAATATACATAAAATTTGAATTCAAAACTTTCAGTAGTCTTAAGTTTTCACCCAATAGATTAGGTTGGGTTGTATGTATTTGTTTTATGTGAATAAAGCATTATTCAAACAGTAAAATGTCCTTTCATAATCATTTCATATTATGATTTTGGCTTCGTTTGGAACGACTTTCTTACTGTTTCTAAAAGCAATTTTTTAATACAAATTTTTTAATTTTTTACTAAAAAATAGTTTTAAGAAGCAGGAAAAAAGCCATCCTAAATGAAGCCTTTGTTGGTGTTTGAAATAGCTTTCTTTTTATTTACTTATTTTTAAGATGAGTGTGACAATACATTTTTTTTCACATTGATTTATAGTAATGTACTATTATTATTAGAAATAAAAATAATATTATAATACATTTTTCTTTTAATAATATACTATTCTATTATTATTTTTATTGAAACAAAAGATGACTTCCAGTATTCCATATCCCATAAGCGAAGCTCACTTTCCTCATTTACAATAACAAAGTTGCAGTAAAACTACTTGAATCTATCTGTAGATTTCAACTTCGTTTAAGACGACTTTCTTATTATTTCTTAAATCAAAATTTTAGTACATTTTTTACAAGAAACTGCTTTAAAAAGCAGCAAGATAGTTATACCAAACGAAGCCTTCATCTACGTCCCAATTGCAAAAAATAATTCATAAATTACTCCATTAAGACCACAAATAAAATTTTGAAACTCTATACAATTACATGGTTCAGATCTTCTATAATGAACATGGTAAACAGTGGAAGAATCTCAACAATTCAATCCATTATAAATGGCTGAGATTTAATTTATCTTTCTTTTCAAAATTGCTGCTTTTGTTAAATCTCTACTATCCACAATGTATTAAATGATCAAGAATCTCCAACCATACATGCATATGTATCATTATAACTATGAAGATTCCTAGTCACAACTACATTGTTGAAGCCTATGGATTGCTATGCAGCAAGGCTTAAATTTAGTGCAAAATTCAGTAGACAAAGCCTTCATCATTAGATTTAGGGGCAAATTATTTGGTGCGGAGTCCAAACGTAGCACTATATCCGAACTTCAATTAAATTTATTCACGTGTAATATGGACACGTGGAGATTTACTGTGCTTTTTGTAAGAAATTTTTTTTAGAAATTTAAAACATAACTTTCTACTCTTTTGCTGCGCTTTTACAGTGCTTTTGCTGCTCTTTTACTGTGCTTTTGCTGTTCTTTTTCCGCGCTTTCACTTTGTTACACTTTTGCTACCCTTGCGCTTTCACTATGCTTTTACTGCCTTCTGCTGCGCTTTCATTTTGTTGCGCTTTCACTGTGCTTTTGCTATGCTTTTATTTTTGCTTCTCTTCGATGAAAAATAAAATCCAATTAAATCACCACGTGTCCCTATTACACATGTACAAATTTAATTGGAGTCTAGACGTAAAGCTACGCCCGGACTCCGCACCAAATAATTTGCCTTGGAGAGGGACTGTTGAATATAATATTACCCATAAACTGGGAAAGATTATTTTCATAACTCAGTTTATGATAAAGACAGTCAGTCACTGTTCTAAGCACAGCCTCTACAGGCTAAAACTTCTCACTGGACAAAAATAACTAAATATTTGATAAACAATGTTCAAATAGAGAAGTATGCGTGCAAATTATAATTATATCATAAAATCATAAACTCGCTTCTCTTTTTCGAGAAGATATTTGTGCATGATATAGGATTTACCTACAGTTTATAGTTAATAGCCAGTTCAGGAAGAAGAAACCATGCTCCTTGCTGTCCCCAAGAAATCAGATGCATCATCATCTCCTGAAATATTGATATGACAAATAAATTTGTACAACAATTTAAATTAATTGGAAAGTAGATTAGGAATGTCAATCATTCTTTTAATTGTAGAGGGACATACAGTTTTTAAGCTCAAATTCTTAATGGGAAAATCGAAGAATTTTAATAATTGAATATCAGAATTCAAAATCACATAGAAAATAGTGATACAGTAGAAATAAGGTAGCAGCGAATATGTAGCAAATCTAACTTGTTCTAAAGAACAGACCGAATTAATTTGACGGTGCATGATTCTGATTCAGGAAAGAGTTGACTATAACTTTTTTTTTTGCAGGTTTTGATTATGATATTTGACAAGAGAGTTAAAATTTTGCTAAAAGAGAACATAAGGTGAAGAAGAAGTTAGGAACTTAAGAAGCATTTTATTTGGATTTAGAGAGTTAGGAAAGATGAGGCTTGGTATTGGGGATTTGATTTTGCAATAAAATTTAGTTAAGTGATCTAAGCAATCAAAATCAATTCCAACCAACCGTGTTCTAGATGAACCCAAAAAATAGCATTTGCTTTTTTAGGGTTGAATAAAAAAATTACATGCTAGCCATTCTCCAAATAAAATATTATGTTGGATAAATAATGTTTGGGATATTTGAATTCTAGTGTAGTTAATGAAATTAAAAAATCTACTATTGCTCTTCTTTACCATATTTGCTTTAAAAAATATAAAATTTTTCACTATTTATTAACTCTTATTATATACTATATTAACTCTATACTCTAATTTATTAAATGATAAAATAGAACAATATAATCTCATATTCACTTGTAATACCTAAAATACCCTTTATATTTAACTTTGGAGTTAACTTTAACTCTTATTTTAAGCTTTGAGACTAAATTGTCTCGCTTTGAGACTAAATTGTCTCAATTTCTAATAGTTGAGGGAAGGTAATGCAAAACTCTATAATTAAATTGGACATTTATCAATTATCGAGGGACTATTTTAAGCTTTTACTCATTTCCTAAAAGAGTTTTATTACCTAAGAACATATATGAGATAAAAAATTAAAAGCATTTGATTTTGGATATACAAAGATAGATACATGCCCTAATGATATATTTTGGGGAGATAAGGTCAATTAGGATTATCTCATATTTGTGGTAGATAAAAGTTGGTTGTTACACTTTAAAAAAAGTAAATAAATAAAAATAAAAGTTGGTGGTTAATCCAAAGAAAAATTATAGCAGGTGGAAAAAAAACTCGGATGGAGATAAGCTAAGATTGCTTGATATCTTCCATTAAGTTTCAGACACCAGAGATAAACTAAAACAAAAAAAAATTGCTGAAGGGATGATTTTACAATAAAACATATGCATAAAGATCTTTTTTGTGACGCCAAATGATAGAGAAGCATAGTGATCTTCTGATTCTTGATATCCTTCTTCAAATCCACAAAATAGTCATCTTAATGTAGCTAGTGATGTGTCAATCCTTCTAAAATTATAAGCAGTATATATAGTATTTTGCCGAAGCTTTTGGCTCCTCCACAATGGCTTGAAATAGAAAAAATTCTTTCATTTTACCAGGTCCAATAAGAATTTTATTCATGTCATAAACTGTCTTATATGATTCAAAATTCGCATACTTATAGATGATAAAAAAGAGCAATTATTCACAAAATTGTGATCAAATGGCTAACAAATTGTTAAATAGAAAAATCTTTATATATATATATATATATATATATATCATGCTCATATCAGAAAAGGGAGCATAAAATGAAGCTTGCCTTATAGGGCAAGAACAATTTATAACTCTTTATTATATAATTACTCTGATAATAATAACAGTTATTATGCTCATCTCAGAAAAGGGAGCACCAAAAGGGTAAGGAGCTTGCCTTATAAGCCAAAGAACAATTTATAATTCTTTATTATATAATTTATTCTGGAAATAATGTAAAGCTAGTGTTGTCCTCGATCATATTTTCTATTTGAAGTCTGTCAAGATTAAAAACCCACGGCCAACAAATAAAGTACCAAAGGAGCATATGGACTAATTCAGATCAATATGGAACTAAAAAACTGAATTCAAGTAAATAGCTTCTGAAATCCGGATTAAGTAGCTACTAACAGGATAGAAAAGCTGCAGTAAACTGTACTGAAACAACGTAAATACAGTTAATTGGATAGAAAATGAAGTGTAAGGTACAGTTAATTGGATAGAAAATGAAGTGTAAGGCAAAACAAAATACTCATATGTTAAGCTAACCCCTTATCTAATTGATGTACATTTTCTTATCATCACTTTTAGCAATGCTTCTTACCATCGTAATCACATTGTGAGAGCCACAAGTCAATATGTTCAATAATCTGCTGTCTCACTTTCTTCACTGCCTCAGGAGAAGTGCAGTTTCCAGCATCGCCTAAACAAATTTATAAAGAGTGATTTTAATATATAGTAGGAACTCTCAGTAGAGTTTCGAGCATTCATGTAAAATTATATTCGTTATGAAAGGGGAAATACTTTTAACATTTTATTTACAATGTCAGAGAATAAACTTTATACATAGCAACTAGTCCATGCCATACCTTCAATGTTCAAAGGAGACTGGGGACATCCTCGCAAATCTGAACCATGGCCGCAGTTATGGCACTTGGTAATGTAAGAAGGCACTGATCAAGTTAAGAAACTTTTAGAAACAGTAATATTCAACAAAAACCAACAAATTTCCAAGAAAGTAAGGAACCACAACTTAATTTTAAGAGAAGATAAAGGCTATTTGAAAAGCCAAATATAGGAATTACCAATATTTCTGAGTCCATAGAAAGGTCAAATAGGTAATTAATGGCCAACCAGCACCATGAATTTGTTTATAAGAGGCCATTAAATGACATGCTACCTACGTCAGTAGACAGAGAAGAGTTCACAAGCGTCAAATATGCAATGATGCATGTATGTGTGTATGATTATGTGTAAAATATAGTGGATTTTAGAATTGTCAATAGGTAACACTAGAAACTGCTTTTAATGGTCAGAGAACCTGAGAGAAAGAGTTTCGATAGAGAAGCTAACACATTTTCTTTAGATTGCCAGAAGTACAAAATTAATGTGACAGATGAAATTTGTTAGGAAATTCCTGTAGTCCCTAATTATAGGTTTGGATCGAAGTGCATTACTACAAAAAAGGCTAATATGAGCATTGCAAGTAAGATTATGCAGTAGACTCAATAAGTGCTTGCTATAAAATTAACAAGTCCATCTAATTGTAGTTATCAATATAAAGAAAACTTCAATGAATTCCAAGAAGAGGGAAATATCTTTGAGGATCATGCTTGTTCAATGAAGCCTTGGTGACTTTACTTTGACTTGGGAAATAGCTTTGGATAATTGGGCGAGTTTATTTGATGACTTAAATTAGTAAATTCAAGTGATCTCAACAACGAATAAGAGTTGGGCTGAATATTAAGAATAGGACCTAATGATATTTTCGATTAGGCATTAGCTGTTCGTGAGCTGAAGTAAATTTTAATTTGTCCACCCCGACAAACTATTGTAGAGGGTGGATGGGTTTTACTTTAAGTGATTTGATGGATCATTTCTACTTTAAATATTAGGATTTTAGAATGATTTTTTAGATTTTTGGATGACATTCAAAATAGTTGGAGTTAACCCCTCCGGTTGAAATCTGCATTCAACATGACTATCATCGGGATATTTGGGATCATTTCCACATGTGGATTGAATCTTGTCGACTTTGTCTAGTTGTCGACAAAGGATCGGGCTTCGTAGGCTTGGTACTTTTGTTGGTGAGTTTTCTTTATTGAAGTTCTTAATGACCTAATATAAATGTATAAAATAAATATCCCGGCCGACCTTGTGATCGCATGTTCATTTAATGGTTCGAGCCGTGTGGATTTCTATCTGCCCGTATAGAAGGATCAGGCTCGAACTTAAGTTTATTTGCTTAACCGCGCAACATCCCTGGATGTCACGTGTTTACCCATAACACGCTCGCTGGGGCACGTGCAGGTTTTTGGGGGCATTTTATAATGATTTGTTGAACATTGCCGACTCTTATTTACCTGCTTAGGAGGATCATATTCAAATTTATTGACCCGTGTGGCATCCCTAAACGTCAAGTGTGTTCTAACAACATGCTCATCGGGGCCCATGCGAGTGTTTGCGAGCACTTCTTAATTATTTGTTGAACCTTGTCGACTCATATTTACCTGTTTAGGAGGATCGGGTTCAAATTTATTGACCCGCGTAATATCCCTAGACGTCACATGTGTTCCTACAATACACTCGTTGGGGCCCATGCGGGTGTATAATTACACATGCCCTTTTGAGTACATATGTGCATACATATTATAGTGCATGTGCGGAGGCATTTTTAGAATATTCAATTTTGATTGGGTTTATGGGCAACCATCATTTGAATGCAGCACTCTACTTGGAAGCTCATACACGCCTTCTATCTGCTTGTACGAGTGTTGCAGATTCAGTGGCTTGTTGTAGCAGCTTGTGGATTGAATTGTTTGCTCCTTTATACATGTAGATTATCGTGCACTACTTACTGCTTTCTGTAAGTGAATTATAGTGCACTAACGAATCTCCTATTTTGAAATGTACGAATTGGTACTTTTGGTAATCCTTTAGCATTTATTGGAGAAATTTCAAGTTTCTTTCATAAGAATTGCCATATTCTCCATAATCTTCACTATTCACTGCTTGAAAGATTCAATACACTTGATTATATACCAACATTGATTGTATAGTGGTATATCTATTGCAGTTTTGTCATATTTGCCCACAAATCATATGTTAAAAATGTAACGGGCCTCCTTCAGCAGTTCATAAGCATTTACATTTATTGTGATCATTTAGAATTGTACTTATTATAAGTCTCCCTGCTCATCGTATGTTGACTTTTAGTATTTGTAGACGACTATTGTATCCATCTACAAGCTGATTGTCACCAATAGGTATTCCATCATGTATGCAACAGTTCTTCAACTGTCATATATGGGCAAGTTGTAGCGAGTACATTAAATACCTGCATTTGTTGCATAATGACTATCTTTATTTGCCGAGGACTTGCAACATCTCTACTATGCTTGCTTGTAAATTAGTCGGTTGAATGAGCTGCATTAAATATGCATTTCCCATGCAATCTTCTAGTGTTTTCATTCACTTCGACTCTTATGTATTTCGATTATTAGTATCTTGTGTATATATCTGCATTCACAAAGCTCAATACGCCTTATCCTCAATATCTACAAGGAGTCCTTCACATCTGCCCATAGACAACATGCTAAATGTATAATGGGCATTTTCCAACGGCTCGTGGGCATCTATGTTCATTGTGGTCATCTGGAATTTTGCTCATAGATGTCATCTAATGTTTAGATGGGTATCTTATAAGAGGTTGAAGGGCACTTGCATTTGTTATATGCCATATGTTCTTGCTTGCAATAAATTGATATATTTGCTAGACACTATATGGTGGTTGATTGTAAGGATCAAACATATTTGTCTTTGTTTTGATATTTCCCATAAAGCATTATTGTAATCTTCATATGCCTTTTGCACGCATTGAATGCCATTTGATATCATGCATTGCTGGATTATAAGTTGACAAATATTAAATATAAGCAGGTTGTGGTGAACATAATGATTCATTCATGTATTTGTGAATGCAGTGTTATACAATCACAGATCTTCTAGCACCACATGAGTTTGCATTGTTTCTTGGGATGAATCAATCAAATCATATTCATTTAACTTCAATAAATCTTTCATTCATACGCCAATTTTCATTTGGATTATTAGAATTGTTATTTGGTTTTGGTATTTCATTTGTTCATCAATTGCATCTCAATTGAAATGGTAGTTTGGAAATATTGTATCATTGTTCAAATGAAATTCTTTATTGATCATTTGAGTCCAATCCCTTGCTATCACATTGAGTTCGAATTTTTATACATTTGATTCAAATTCAAACTTAGTTCATTTGAGTTCAATTTGGGTTCTTTATGTGGTTCAAATCAAGTCTGAATCAAGTTTTGTTGTCCAAATCATCCAAATTCAAATGCATATCTGAGTCCTCTTTAATTTATTCAAGTTTGCAAGTTCATTTATTGTTTGAATTGAGTTAAAGTCCTTTGTACAAGCTCAAATTTCGAGTCCAATTTGTCCAAGTCAGGTTTCCTGTCCACTGGAAAATCCAACAGCCTCCCGACGTCTCCCCCATTTAGGGGAAACTACAGGAAACTGGGTCTCCCGCCACGCTAGAGAAAAAGTGTGTATGATAGGTGTCGGGTGACACCACGACCAAAAAGTCTTCAATCCCACCATGCCATAGAAAGGCGTGTTGGGTGTGGGCTCCGAAAATTTGGCCCCGGCCTCCCCGCCGCTTTTTCTTTTTATTTGAGCGAGGGGAGTTTTAACGGATAAGTTCCAGGATAAATTTTGGAAGGCGGATGGGTTTGTAGATAAGACACTACCCAGAGATTTCGCCCTCATTTTGCAAGGACTTTATGATCTGAGTTCTGGTTTCCTATAGCACAAGCCCCTATAGTTAATCTATTAATTACCCCTCTCGATCACGAGAAAGAACTTTCGATTAAGGCTAGTCGTCAATCAGATTCATATAGAAATACGTGTATCTGGCATATAGTAGCAGCATAGTTTTGTATATTGAAAATTGGGAGTTCTGATATTTAAAAATAAAAATTTCCACCATCTTTCACTTAAAGCGGATGGTGGGGGAATGGATGATAGACCCGATCAAGATCCCATGGTTCCGTCGTCCCGGGCCATCGTGGTCCCTGGTCTACTTAGTCAGAGGAGGTAGTCGACCCAACCTGACAGAAGGATCCTTGTCGGCAGCCATGGGTTGCTTCGTCCAATGGTACCTTGTAGACCTGGGATGGGTATTTGCCTAAGGGGACAAATTTAAATCCACCTTAGCTAATAGAGGGCTTTGTACCCTATCGATCATATCCTATTGATTCATATCTCAAGGATTTGATGCCAATAAGGAACGCATCGGCGCTAGCCATAACCGGTATTTCGTGGCGCCATTTGGCGGCAAAACCAATAGGTTCAGAGGGCCCCGGGTCATAACCGTTTATCCTGTGGTGCAATTTGGCGGCAAACCGCCAGTCAGAGGACACGTACCACGTCCTTACTGGCAGGAGACTGTTTTGAGAATGGATCCTAGTGATATTTTCGACTAGGCATTTGACTCTTTGTGAGCTAGAGTAGTTTTTATTTTTGTCCACCTCGGTAAACTATTGCGGATGGTGGATGAATTTTGCTTTAAGTGGGTTAATGAATTTATTTCATTTTAAATATTTTTGGGATTTTGAGATTTTTGAAATTTTCTGGGATTTTTGGTACAGCTTTGGAGTATTTGAAATGGACTTTTGGGAGACACTTGAAAGTATTTGGGAACCCCTCCGGTTGAAATATGCATTCAACACGGCCATCATCGGGGTGTTCGGAGTCATTTCTCTTTTGTTAATTGAATCTTATCAACTCTATAGAATTATCAATAGAGGATCAGATTTCATATGTTTTATGCATTTATTAGTGAATTCATAATGTTATAGACCCTTGAAGGCCTAAAATGAATGTATTAAAACAAATATACCGATCACCATCACCGTATACTTGTTTGATTATTCGAACCCTGTCGACTTCTATTGACCCGTATAGAAGGATCGGGTTCGAACTTGAATTCACTTATTGACCCGCGCAGCATCCCTAGACGTCACATGAGTACCAATAACATATTCGCCGGGGCCCATGCGGGTGTTTGGGGCCATTTTATAATTAAACCCTGTCGACTCCTTTTTACCTGCTAAGGAGGATCGGGTTTAAAATTTGATAACCCGCGCAGCATCCCTAGACGTCACGTGTGTACCAATAACACGCTCGTCAGGGCCCGTGTGGGTTTGGGATTGTATTTTCCCCTATAGTGTTTCTATGTGTATACAGATTACAGTGCACGTGCAGGAGATACTTTGAAATAATTGTAGTTGTGCATATAACTATCGTTTGGATGCACACAACTTTTCATTTAATAGCTTATACACGCCTTCTGTCCGCTAGTACGAGTGTT